TTGTTTTCCCAGTTACCTCTCTGTCAAAGGTAGGAATAATGTTTGTTTTCCCAGTTACCTCTCTGTCAAAGGTAGGAATAATGTTTGTTTTCCCAGTTATCTCTCTGTCAAAGGTAGGAATAATGTTTGTTTTCCCAGTTACCTCTCTGTCAAAAGGAGGATTAATGTTTGTTTTCCCTGTTACCTCTCTGTCAAAGGTAGGAATAATGTTTGTTTTCCCAGTTACCTCTCTGTCAAAAGGAGGATTAATGTTTGTTTTCCCTGTTATCTCTCTGTCAAAGGTAGGACTAATGTTTGTTTTCCCAGTTACCTCTCTGTCAAAGGTAGGAATAATGTTTGTTTTCCCAGTTACCTCTCTGTCAAAAGTAGGAGTAATGTTTGTTTTCCCAGTTACCTCTCTGTCAAAGGTAGGAATAATGTTTGTTTTCCCAGTCACCTCTCTGTCAAAGGTAGGAATAATGTTTGTTTTCCCAGTTACCTCTCTGTCAAAGGTAGGAATAATGTTTGTTTTCCTGGTTACCTCTGTCAAAGGTAGGGTTAATGTTTGTTTTCCCTGTTACCTCTCAGTCAAAGGTAGGAATAATGTTTGTTTTCCCAGTTACCTCTCTGTCAAAGGTAGGATTAATGTTTGTTTTCCCAGCTACTTCTCCATCAAAAGTAGATTAGTTTTTCCAGTTACCTTGCCGTTATAACTTTCAATAAATAAAAACTAGTTCTCCATTGGTTTATAGGAATTACACCTTGAAAACACAATTCAGTTAAAATGCAATCAGTATTAATAGATATAGCCTTTGTGCATTGTGATATATAGAAGATAATATTTGGTAATCATATTTATCAGTCCGAGCAGCGTTTATTTATTTATAAACTACTATTACTTTGTGCATTGTGGTACTCCAAGGTACAGATTTGATGAACGAAGTTTGAAAAGAGTTTATTTCACTGGATTTAATACTTCACCTGCTGAAAGCCTCCTCAGATACCAAAATAAATGACAAAAAGAAGGCGATGTGGTCCTAAATGATTACCATCTTACTATTAATATACACATGCCATGTGTTTTTGTCAGAGACTAATATTTTCTTTATTTACACTTCATGTTGTGTTTTCTACAGACCTGGACCAAACTCACCGATTGGTTGGGTTAAAGCATGTGTACAAACATTAGCACCAGAACCTGGACCAAGACGTCAAAAGATTTTACTTGGACTTAATTTCTATGGTTATATGTTCCAAGGTATGAATGTGGAAGCTGTCCTAGGTACCAGGTAAGCATACTAAATTGTGTTTTGTTTATTCACTTGACAAATAATCAGATAATCAACTTAGTAACTGCAATAGATAACACTGTAATCATGTGTGGTTAATATTCGTCTAGGTATATAGAGTTATTAACAAAACACAAACCAAAACTGAAATGGGATTCTGTTGTGGCAGAACATTCATTTGAATACAAGTAAGTATTGTTACTTTCACTTTACCCAACAGTCATTATTTTAGTGAAATATTCTTTAAAGCGGAGGAGTCGTCACATGCGCATGCGTCAGATGGCCATAGCGTGTCATTGTTTACAAACAAGCGTCTGCCCATGAGCCTTTGCGTTTTTAGCTCGTGTAATCGTCGCTTGGGACTCAATTCCTGCACATGCGCAGGTGACACCCTCCCGCTTTAATATATCAAAAGTTGCCCTTGTTTTCAGTTTTTAATCAAACATTATGAAGAAAACAAATTAACAGGTGAAAGGGTGCTTGCACTCACTTCTGGTTGGATTACCATTGTTTTGTAGATATGGTCTAATTTGATAAATTGAAATTGGGGTTTTTGTCACCTTATTGATTATTATTGTATATATTCTAATTTAGGTATTGTTTGCTGTAGTCACTGATGCACGATACAAAGACTGTTTTGATTATAAGATGTTATCAATGCTTCGTTCATTTAAAAAAGAAATCATATTGTTTTTATACCAAAACCAGTGCCAACAATTTATAATTTGACTTCTGTGTTGGAAATTTAAGCAATCACCAAACAGAATTATCAACTTGTTCTATCTGGTCAACTTGTGCATGAATGTTGATTTTCACATTTTATTGTACTTTTTCATTTAAAACTTGTTCTATAGTTTTCATTACCAACAAAATTGAAACCAAGCCTTCTATTTCAATCACAGAAAATATTTGTTGCTGTTGACTAAAATGTTAACTGCTTGATTGAGAAGCCTATTTTTTAACTAAATAACAGACTTCAAGTGTGCCAAAACAAATACAACATTTACTGTGATTAGTTTGAAATTTTCGTTGAATAATTGTACATTTTTTTGCAGAGGTGGTTATCAAGTATTCTACCCAACCCTAAAGGTATGTCAGAATTTCAGGTTTTCTGCCACAGATAGATTTTGCATGTGAAGCAGAGATGGCTAAATTTCAGAAAACTGAATTCCATGCTCTGAATGTACGAATGTACACGTTTTTAGCTCCGCTGTCGACTTTGTCGAGCAGAGCTTATCATATGAGTGATTGTCAGTCGTCCGTGTCAATGTTTTACTTTTTCGATTTCTTCTTGAAAACTAAAAGCCTGAATGCTTTGATACTTCGTGTATATGTACCTTGGGTAGACCTCTTTTAGGTTTGTTCATTTCATGATGATATCTTCAAATTCTCTAATTTTGGTGAATATTTTTGTCATTTTTGGTAAAAAGTGATATTTTCGACTTCTTGTTGAAAACCGCAAGTCCAATTGCTTTGATATTACATATATAGGTACTACATGTGGACCTTTCTCAGATTTGTTCATTTCATGATGATATCCTCAATTCTCTAATTTTGGTGAATATTTTTGTCATTTTTGGTAAAAACCGCAAGTCTGATTGTTTTCATATTACATATATAGGTACTACATGTGGACCTCTTTCAGATTTGTTAATTCCGTGGTGATATCTTCAATTATCTAATTTTGGTGAAAAGTGATATTTTTGAATTCTTGTTGAAAACAGCAAGTCCCATTGCTTTGATACTATACATATTGTTCATTTTCTAATGTGCATTGCTAACAGCGGAGCTATCTCAGCCGACTGGCAGCAACTGAGACGACAGTTTGTGTATCAGGCAATTTTACTTAAGACACAACCAAGCAGCAATTTGTTATAGCTTGTATCGTGTTGATATGAATGTTTTCACATTTGCTGTGAAATGCACTGTTTTTGGGCAATTTTAAGCCCAACGAATTAGTCAGTCATGTGCAAAATATTATGCAAATGAGCTAACAAAATTTTTTTTTTTTAATTGTATATCAGCCTGATTTTTTCTGTAACATTCACTGCTATAGAGCCCATGTCATACAAAACTTTACGCAATATCTAATTTTGGCCATAATGTTGCTTGCTTTGAGAACTATGTGCCAAATTCCTTTGATTAGATATTTTTTTGGTGAATATCTGTCGTACTAATTTTGTCTAACTTTAATTTTAGTGAATATTTCGTGGAAATTATTGGTACCTAAACTACACCTTGTAGTAAACTTTATATGTAGTAAAACAAGAAAATGTGTTTTTTTGTTGCTGAAATGCATATTTTGCAGACGGCACAGTATACTAAACAAGTAACTGAAATATCCATCATTTATTTAGTCAAGTGGTCAAATTTTCCTGATATTTTAGATTTGACATAAAGCACCCGAATTGTAAATCAAAGATGAGCCTTTATGTGAAAGCATAAAATAAGCGATCATTGTCTTTAACAAAGGTCAGGGGCAAGCAGACAAGCTTTGTCATTAAACTCCATTGTATCAATGAACAATTTTGCTCAATATATTTGCGTTTTGGGCTTTGCTGTCATCAAAACTGTTGATCCATTACATCTTTAAAGTGCCTGTGAAATGGCTGCTATTTTTACGCCTAAAATTATCAATTGATACATAAATATTATTATTTTTTATGTTTCTAAGCATAAATAATTTTTTTAAGTGAAAAAATGTGTTTTTAACTCAGTCTACGGAAACTTTATTTTTGTGTATTTTAAAACGAGGCTCCTCATTAGCTTCTCATTTGCATACAGAAATTCCCCTTGTGACGTCAGAAGGGGAAGTCCCTGGGCAGCTTGCATTGCCGATATGTGTAAATAAGGCAAATTTCTTGTGCTGTTTTCTCGTCTTTGACTAAATTGTCACTTATGTACTTGTTCGTCGAGGAAGAATGGACCATACTGAACACATAGTATCAAGTTTGTTGCATGGGGTTGAGTCAGATGCGAAATATGTCCGGTCTGGTGTCGCTAGTCACCGGAGCACGTTTGTACACTGTCGCTGGACTCCGGCATTGGACAAAATCAAATTTGACGGCTGAATCGTCTTGTTATTTAGCAGGTTACTAGACACTATTGAATTTTTAAAAAACGACAAAACACAGTTACTGAATAAATGACTGCCGCCTTGTAATGGGTGAACGCGTTGGGTCATGAGGGGGACAAGTGCGTGAATGGCGGCGTTTAATTGGATAACAAAAATTATTGAGAGCGACTCACATACAGACAAATTCAGAGTGGATTTAGCGTGATTTTCATGATTATGACATCATATTAAAAAAAATACATTGACAACTCAAGCCCGGATTCTTATTCCGTAAATTATTACGCCGATCAAGCTGCAAGTAAAGGTAACAAAGGTGTGAATTCGACATTCAACACCAATAACCGAACAATTCAGACACTTTTAGTCTGCGAAAATGAAAACAGCCTGAGGGCTGCGTAATTTCCTGTTTGTCCAACGCTTCGTTTTCGTGTCATTATCAAAATTACTGCTACCTTTTTACATAACACGGGTGGTCTCTATAAAACGATAATCAGGATCGCAAAAAAATCAAATCATTTGAAACACATACTCGACGTCTCTTTCTTCTGAAATCTGTCTCAGTGATCATGGGCTGGTCCGGAATCTGTTTTTTCGAAAACGTTTGGTATTGTCGGCGTTTCTCAGTTTTTCAAAAAAAAAAAAGAATCTGAGGTGAAGTGGACACTGCATATGACGCTGTTACGAGGAAGTCCATCCCAACCTTTTCTCGTTATTTTCACGGCTTTCGTCCACCGATTTCGCACCTTCGGATCGATTGGAAATACTTACACTATGACCTTACGCATTACTGCAACCGCCCACAACACAACGTTTAACCATCATAAAAGTTTGTTGTGAAAACAACTTCTAAAAATTCGCTCTCTCAAAAATAAAATAGACAAAAGAAACGCCGATTAAAAAATGTATATCGTTTAAAAGTACAGTTGTACGTTGAATGACACAGTGATATAAAAGTACGGCCCAGGGGTATGGCTTCCTCTCATATTTTTGCATTTGGTGGCGCACTTTCGGCGAGAGTCTGAAATAGGTGGGCGTGGCTACAGCACGGGAAACATCTCAAATTTACTTGGATACGAGTAATCATTTTCAGCAAAAAAATCAATAAATGCTCACTTCAGTGGGGCACAGATCTAAAATGGGAAGCATGTGGGTGGGCATTGCACAGGCACTTTAAATCCAGTAGCCTTGGTGGATCTCTCTCAGATTTGCTCAATTGGTACCGTGTTCAACTTATTGCCCTCATCTAATGTTGCCAACATGATTTCTATTGTTATAGATGAGTAAATATTGCACTTTACTGAAGTGTTCGAATTGAATATATCAAGTCATGTGAGCGAAGCACACAATGGGAGTCTTTGCAATTAGTGTGTCTGCATGTTCCACTGATATCTCAAAAACCATACATTGATTTTTGATGAAACTTGGTACATAGATGCACTGGGCCAATGCGCAGATTTGATTAGTTTTGTACATAGACGTCATAGGACACTGCACAGACCTGGTAGTTTTTAGGGTAATATCAGTACATATTAATTACCTAATTTTCAGCTTTTGATATTTCAAAGAGTAATCAACACATTTCAATGAAACTTGGTACATAGTTACTTAAGGACTGTGCAGAGACCTGATTAGTTTGTGCGTAATTAGTTAATTTTCAGCTTTTCGCTTGATATCTCAAATACTAATCAACATATTTCAATGAAACTTGGTACATAGTTACTTAAGGACTGTGCAGAGACCTGATTAGTTTGTGCGTAATTAGTTAATTTTCAGCTTTTCGCTTGATATCTCAAATACTAATCATCACATTTCAATGAGACATGCAACATTATAGACCTGATTAGTTTTAGGGTAAATAATTACTTTTTTTGCTGTTCCACTGATATCTAAACAACCACTCATTGGATTTTAATCAAACCTCATTACATTTCCATGAACCTAGGACTATGCAGAGACCCAGTTAGTTTTTGGTAATTAATTATATGCTTACTAACACTGATATCTCAAGTACTGATCATCACATTTGAAACATAAATGTTCTAGGACAATAAACAGGCTTATTAATTCTCTAACATAATTCATATTTTTTTTTGGTTTTAATCACATTTTAATGAAACTTGGTACATAGATATTACATTGCGCGGGTCTTATTCAGTTTTACACTCAAATCTGTTCTTATTAGTTACCTGATTTGCATAAATAGTTTTCAGCTTTTCCATCAATATCTCAAGTACAATTAATTTCAGGCTTTCTTTGATTTAGTCTGGTTGTCATGGCAATGCAGAAAAAACCTCTCAAACAGTGAGCTGGCGTACAAGTGATAATCAAATAAATTTGGGGGTGTAGCTATCTTTAAACTTAATAAAGAAACAGGTTTTTCAGATTAAAAAAATACCGAACTTTCACAGCGTGAATAAAATCCCTTGTATGACAGGTTCTGAAAGAAGCTAACCCCTCTATTGAATGTAGGAGTCCCTAAAACAATATCATGGGCAGCCAAGTGTTAATGATTTCTTTTCACTTGTTTCAGTCTATTAAGATGAGAGTGGACCTAGCAAAGGAGCTTGGCACAGGATTATCTATATGGGAAATCGGTCAAGGATTGGACTATTTCTATGATCTGCTGTAGACTTTGATAAATGGATGGGATATGATCTTGCTGAACAAAAAATTAAGGGCACTTGATAAAGTTGCATCCTGCACAATTGTTTTATTCATTGCTACAGGGTACGACCCCCCCCCCCCCATAGATTATACATACCGGTAATGCAAAGTACTACAGAAACGAGCACATTATATCCTTCCCGTAAAACATGACATTGTACAATAGGTGATTTTCTGTTCAACTGCGAGGTCTCGCCTGCCACAAAAATCAAACGATTTGATTTTGAATACCCTCACTTAATCAAAATTGCACAGCACATTATTAAGCATGGAAATGCTCCCCCAAAATATTTTCGGGTTTGTCGAATCCCGCACAATGTTTGATGCCACTACAACGCTATGACCTTTGTTTGCTCGATTTCACGCAGTGAACGGAAAGTGGTCTAAATATGTACCAGCTTTAAAATTTTATGGTGTAAAACTCAATCTATGCATTCACAAATGGCAATAAATCTTAAAGTTCTAATAAAAGTTTAGTTTTTTTTATTTCATGCAAGATATATAAAGTTCAACATACTTTTTTTCAAAAACATGTGACAACTTAACATTTAGTCAAGTCTATAAAATACAGCCTTTAACATGACAAATCTAGAAATACAGAAGCATACAAAAAATAATAAATAAGTTAGTATCAAATGAACGTGCACATGACAAGAGGTCATATATGTACTGTATTTCTGAATTGACTTATTTGATCAGAGGCTTTCAACATCAATAGCTGAAAATAGGGCGTTATGTTTTCAAAGTAAGGCAAGCGGTGATTTGGTTCAACTGTATCACTTCGGTGAATACGTCACCTCTTTTCGGAAGTACCAACAGCATGTCCTTCTTCAATGAGTAGACGATGAATATAGATATCAACATTTTCTTGTGAGGTGTCAATCAAGACCACCTCCAACTTCATTTCCCGCTGGGATACTGCTATCTTGTTAACTATATGCGCAACATATTCCTTGCGATAGGCTAGTTCAAAGAAACGGTTTGTTGCTTGATCAGAAAAATTTGTGTGGTTTCCAGGTGGCTTCACACCTATGAATAAATTAAACATTGCAGTTATTAATATGTTATCAAGTTTCATTCAAAAAAAAAAATCCTCGAAATTTCCAACTCAGTGAAAAATATTGTCCTACATCCAACAATTCAAAAAGTGGGCTTGGCTTTTATAGTGTTGATGCTGGTCATATTGGCAAGTAGTGCTAATATTAACGTTGGCGTGGTAGGGGAGAGATGGCTAAATTGGTGGTGGTAGTGAAAGTAGAGAAAAGTGGGGAAGAGATGAGATGATGGTGGTAGTGAAAGTAGAGTAGAGATGTAATTATTTATGGTTGGACCGCATAGAGATGGCATTATTGGTGGTAGAGAAGAGGTGGTGGTGGTGGTAGTGCAAGTAGAGAAGAGATGGCATTGGTGGTGGTAGAGGAGAGAGGGCATTGGTGGTGGTAGAGGAGAGAGGGCATTGGTGGTGGTAGAGGAGAGAGGGCATTGGTGGTGGTAGAGGAGAGAGGGCATTGGTGGTGGTAGAGGAGAGAGGGCATTGGTGGTGAAAGTAAAGAAGAGATGGCATTCGTGGTGGTGAAAGTAGAGGAGATGGTGGTGGTAGTGCAAGTGGAGAAGAGATGGCATTGGTGGTGGTAGAGGAGAGAGGGCATTGGTGGTGGTAAAGGAGAGAGGGCATTGGTGGTGGTAAAGGAGAGAAGAGATGGCACTGGTGGTGGTGCAAGTAGAGAAGAAATGGCATTGGTGGTGGTGCAAGTGGAGAAGAGATGGCATTGGTGGTGGTAGAGGAGAGAGGGCATTGGTGGTGGTGGTGGTAGAGGAGGGAGGGCATTGGTGGTGAAAGTAGAGAAGAGATGGCATTGGTGGTAGTAGTGGTGCAAGTAGAGAAGAGAGGGCAATGTAACGTGGAGAGGTGATGGCATTGATGCTTGTGTAATATGCTGTGATATGACTACATGATACACACCTGCAAGACATGCAGTTATTGCTTGGAATGGTAGTTTCCTGAATTCTGAGATCAAAGGTTGCATATTATCTTTGGTTACTGCATCATAGTGTCCAAGATCCAGCATGTATATTGCAACTAGGCAGTCATTTAACACATGTTTCACCTGTACTCGGTACCAGAGACCATCATCCTCATATAATGCTGCGTAAACTCCACCCTCCTTTATTTTGGGGCACGTACATTCCTGAAACAGAAACAATAAATTTGATTGATTTAAACTGGATACACACTTTTCTTATGTGAAAGTGATGATTGCAATTAAACTGTTGGTTACAGGAAACCGTCAATGTCCAGCAAAAATGGTGACAATTTTATATTAAACTACCTTCTGTGCACAAGCGCAAGTTTCAGTTTTCCGGTGTATTCTCGAGAGTGAACATCCGAGCAACCAAAACCAGTGATTCAATAACTGTGTTGGGCTCGTTGTTGAGACTCTCCTGAACAGTGTAACAAGACTATCGCTCCATATGGAACATATACCAATTTGGTTGATCAGAATTGTCTCACAGTTCAGTTTGTGCTGTTTTCTGGACTTTAGCTGTTTTCATCGGCTCTTCGACTAGTGCTCCATGGCAACCCGCAAAGAGCCCATAGAAATACATAGTGAAGTGGTGCACATCTTAGCAACATAGAACATCCTGTGACATAGCTCCGCTCCGCTCCACCCCTCATTAACTGAATCTTTTTTTCATCAAAGATCAAATGCATACAATCAGTATCTACACATACAACCCATTGTGCATTCAAGTTCCTGTCTCCATGAGAGTAATAATGTGGTGTAGTGTATACTGCCAAGCATAAAGTATTGAAACGCAGTGGCCAATCAAGAAAGATGACAATGCACTCCGGTTGAGGAAACTTACTTGGTTTCAACCAACTGATCACCACTGAAACACAGTGGCCAATCAAGAAAGATGACAATGCACTTGCGTCAAAGAAACCTACTTGGTTTTAATCAATTTATTATTACTAAAACACAGCAGCCAATTAAGAAAGGTGACAATGTAGTTCGGTTGAGGAAACTTGTTTGGTTTCAACTAATTGATCAACACCATAACACAGTGGCCAATCAAGAAAGATGACAATGCACTTGCGTCAAAGAAACCTACTTGGTTTTAATCAATTTATTATCGCTAATACACAGCAGCCAATCAAGAAAGGTGACAATGTAGTTCGGTTGAGGAAACTTGTTTGGTTTCAACTAATTGATCAACACTAAAACACAGTGGCCAATCAAGAAAGATGACAATGCACTTGCGTCAAAGAAACCTACTTGGTTTTAATCAATTTATTATCGCTAATACACAGCAGCCAATCAAGAAAGGTGACAATGTACTCCGGTTGAAGAAACTTACTTGGTTTCAACCAACTGGCCAATCAAGAAAGGTGACAATGTACTCCGGTTGAAGAAACTTACTTAGTTTCAACCAACTGGCCAATCAAGAAAGGTGACAATGTACTCCGGTTGAAGAAACTTACTTGGTTTCAACCAACTGGCCAATCAAGAAAGGTGACAATGTACTCCGGTTGAAGAAACTTACTTGGTTTCAACCAACTGGCCAATCAAGAAAGATGACAACCAACTGGCCAATCAAGAAAGATGACAACCCACTGGCCAATCAAGAAAGATGACAACCAACTGGCCAATCAAGAAAGATGACAATTAATACAGTCCTTTTGACAAAACTTGTATAGCAAGTGCCACACAGAATGGCCAAACTATTGTACTGTATGTGATACTCGTGGTTTACAGCATGTTACTGATATGTAGTAGCAATATATGTTTACCCAACACTACATATCTAAACACAGAACAAGAGGAGACATGAGAGAATGGGGCCAATCTTCCAACTGTAATGCTTGGAACAGAGCATAGAAAATGCATTTTTTAGTATGGTAGTGTTCAATGGTCTTAGCAGTCTACACTACAACTGATACTGCTGCATAAGTGAACTGTCAACTCAGGAAATCCAAAACCTTAATGATGCAGGGCAAACCCTACCAAATACTATGCCTAATTACTTGACAACAATACTTACGTGTGTTGAATAGAATGTCTTCATACTTTCAACCAAATGGTCAAAATCATCGTAAGAATTCCACGGCTGACACTGGAAAAATAAAAACAAAGATTGAAATGACCACAAATTGGTAATTTTCTCGTTTTTTTTAGCACAGTCACTGATACATGCATCCAATAGAATAGAAACTCTACCTAAGCAAATATAAGATTTCTTATTTTTTAGCACAGTCACTGATACATGCATCCAATAGAATAGAAACTCCACCTAAGCTAATATAAGATTTCTTATTTTTGCAGTCAGATTTGCAAGTAACATCAACCATTTATAAATTCACATAAATTTTTCAATCAGCAAAAATCAATATTTTAGACAGCATGCTTTTGATTTTGTTTTGACACACAGTAATACTATGTTACTATTATTCAATATGGTTTTTAGTAGTCTGTAAAAGAGCAAATACTAACCATAAAATTAGTTGGGTCAGTCACTAGGGATACATGAAGATCCATGTATTCACCAACATCAGGTATGGAGAGAGGTGGCGGTAACGGCAACTTATCATAATCAGATAGCCTATATAGTACATTATCACTTTCAAATACAGTTGATTCATTTGTAACTTTAGTATCGCCATGGTTACCAAGATACTCCAGTGTATCATCCATGTATGAGTTATCTGAATTTATTGATTCCATGCTTGCTTCCAGTTTAGGATCAGTACTGTTTAGACTAGTATTACTTGCGGAGGCAAATTCCTCAGTGAACGACGATGTTTCAGAGTCATCAGGAAGTGGAATGTTTGCTCCATCCACACTGCAAAAAATATATGGAGTAAGGCTCAGAAAGCAGAATGTATTGCAGGTATTAGTGGCAAATATATGACACGCAAAATGAGGATATCAAAAACTACTTAAATCAAAGAAGCAATGTCACTGAAAGCTCACGATTCTTTTATTTTTTGTTAATTAAATTTTGACAATGTCTTAAACAATGACATAGTCTAGTTTGTGATTGACCGACTATTTGAGGGAGGAAGAAGGATATCAAGAAACTTTCAACAACAAATTGGCATCAGTGT